TATGAAGCAAATTAGCCTTTTCATTAACTGAGCCCCTCAACGTCGTTTGGGTAATTGCTTGCATGACAGTAAATCTCCTTTTCAACTACATCAGAAACACCCCAAAAATTCAACAAACCACCTTACCGAAAGGAATCCTTTTTCCATTTTTTTTTTTCAAAAAATTCTAGGAAAAGAACAAGCCAAGATCTACAAAAATCCCCAATCCAATTTGTTGAAAAAAGGAAAACCCCAATCTCCCAATCTTCGTCAACGTCTCTTGATATTAATAGGGCTTGATCGAGAGAGCTATAAATGATGGGCGATTTCAACCTCGCTCTAGTGATCGTCGTGATAGTGGTTTGTGTGCTGGTGTTCATCTTCAATGTCTATCTCCTCATCACTTTCCAGCACTAGGACAACGCCAATCAGGTGTATTTCCCTAAATTCGTTGTCGTTTTGGGTCTTTCCATCACCTTGATCTCCATTTTCATGTTATCGGCAGATATCACCAACTGACAGGCGTGCAGGCATGCCATATACAATGACGCTTGTAATCTCAACCTCCCAATGAAGGATCTGTGGCTCACTGTTTATATTGTGGATGTTGTGCTTGTCTTCTTCATTATCTCGTTTACCATGTTCTACTACGAAGGAGACCAGGACAAGTTTGTATTCCTTGGGTTTTTTGATTTTACAGTGCTATTTTTATTTGAATGGGTTTTCATTTCTTTTAATTTAATCTTGTTGTTTGATTGTAGGAGTGTTGACAAACGAATAAAGAGGGCATCATTGTGGGTGGTGACAATTGCAATTGTATGTGCTCTTGTGCTTGGCATTTTATATGGTTAGTGTTTTTGTTTTCCATTTCTTTTCCATGAATGAAGTTGTTTGATACGTTGGATGCCACATGGATATTAACCGCCATGCAAGCCATTACACAAACAACGTTGAGAGGCTTAATTAACAGAGGGGCTGATTTGCTTTATACGGGGAGTTGGAGGGTTTATTCGCTTCATTTTTAGTTTAGGGGCTTATCACTTGCTATCAAAAAAGTTGAGGGGCTTAAGAAGGGTTTTTCCTTAATTTTTACTTGTAAGTCTTATAATTTTTAATTTTTTAATTATTAAACCCTAAACTCCCTAATAATATAAATTCTAATCCCTAAGAAACTAATACTTAAATCTTAAAAGTGTAACTCCTAACATCATAAATATTATACTTTAAAAAATTTAAACCTTAAATCTTAACTAAATCCTAAAATATTTAAACCCTAACATCTTAAATATTCAATCCCGAAAAATCTACTCTTTAACACCTTAAATACTAAACTCTAAAAAAACTCTAATATCCCAAAAACTAAACTCTAAAAATTCTAAATCTTAACACAATCATAAATAATTTAAATCCGAACCCACTTTGTCCCCCAAAGGTAAGATCTCCTGTAAGTAATAGAAATGAGGTAAAATTTACGACGAAAACCCTTGCAGTATATCTACCTCTCCATTAGCTGGCACAAGGATGGGAAGCCTCTCCTCGCACTTGCAGAGACGCATTGCTGATCTAGACACATAATCAATAATTAAACTAACTTAAAATCATAATATTGTATAGTCTTTTATCTCGAAATAATTTTTTTTCTAAATTAAGAATTAAGTATAATTTATGTATTTATTTATATATTTGTAAAGAAAAATTGAAAGATAGAGTAAGATTTTTTGTAATAAAATAATTAATTAAAATAAATAGATAATAATAAGATTAAAATAAGAAAAAATTTATCTACCCTAAAAATGAAAAAAATAATAATTAATTGAAAATAAAATCAAAATTAAATAAAAATAAGGTTAAAACCACATTTGGGGCCTTGAACTATTGTACGGACCCCCAATTTGGTCCCTAAACTTAAAAAATCCCTGATTTGGTCCCTACTGTTTACCATTTTTACCATGATTTGGTCCTTTCGTTAAGTTTTCACATTAATTGACGAACAAAGACAACAAAAACATTACATGTCACACAAAAATTGACAAGTTGGGAAAAATAGATGACATGGCATTCCAACTCATCCCACCAAAAAAAAAATTTTTTTTTTTCATTCCTCTTTTTCTTCTTCCCTTTCTTCAACTTCTACAAACCCTAACATGTCAATCAATCTCTAACAACTCAACCAATCTATTCATCTCAACCAATTTCTACCGTTGATGGTTCATCATCATCATCATCAAACAACAAAACCCACAAAAAAACAAACTTTTTTTTTAAATTTTTTGCCCCTAGATTCTTTCGAACCTAGCAGCATCCTTTTTTTTCTCCTTCCTCTTCCTTGCCTTGCCTTGCCTTGCCTTCTTCATCAATCAATTCTTCATCTTCATCAATCATCAAACA